TTCTAAGTTTGGCTCGATTATACTAGAATTTGAATCGATCATACTAGAATTAGAATAAATTAAACTAGATTTGACTCGATTATACTAAGTTTGACTCAATTATACTACAATCGAATTGATCATATTATAATTTGAATCGATTATACTATAATTTGTATTGATCATACTTAGTTTTTAAAATGAACATGTCAACTTATAAGATGAATATGTTACGTTTCAAATGAACATCGTGTCTTATAAAATGAATATGTTACGTTTTAAAATGAATATCTCATATTACAAGATGAATATGTTACGTTTTAAATATGTTTAATTTGTATAAAGTAATGTGTTTCTTAACATAATGAATATGTTTACTTATAAAAGTAACATATCAACATGATGATTATGTTTATTAGCGCGATGAATAGGACAAAAGCTACCATTACATTAGCACCATAGCAAACTTCCTATTTGAGCATTACAAAAACATTTGACATAAGACAAAAGCTAGGAATTGCAGCATTACAAAAACTTCCTAGTTCAACAAACTTCCTATAAAAGCATTTCAGCATTACAGTAGCACCAAAGCAAACTTCCATTCATTCTCTAGTTCAGCATCAAACTAACATTAGAAAACATTCTATTAAACTTAAACACAGCTAGAAATGCACAAAGCAATATCAACATAGCAAACTTCCTCTCAAAATTCAATTTCTTGTTCTGGTGATGATTTTTCCTCTCCAATTCTTCAATTTTCTTGTTCTGGTCATGATTTGTCCTCTCCAATTCTTCCATTTTTTTCTTCAACTGCTGCAACTTGTTTTTTCTATTCTAAAGCTTTTCATTGAGTTGCTTTTCAACAATATCCTTGCATTTTAATTGTTCCTCCAACAAATTTCTTTGATTCTTCAACTTCAAAAAACAGGCTTTCTGAAATGGTGGTAATTCAGCATCATGCCAAACAAAAAATTTACAATCACGTGCCTGCAATATGTCAATAACAATGTTTAAATTCATATCTCAATTTCAATTTTACAGCACAATAAATTGGAACCCTAATTCCCAATTTCGGTGTTGAATGTAATTCAAATAATACATAACCAATCTATTTTTTTCATATAAGGAATTAAATTCTTACAGTGTTTCTGTGAGGACATCGATGATACCTCCTAGCCGGATTCGTATCGGTGTTCGAGGTCAAGAAATCTGGTTGGACTCTGTGCAAGCACTGAAGCCCGTCAACTGGAGGGTCC